ATAGAGGAAGAGTGTGTGAGGGGGGTGGGTACAGAATATTCTGGCAGTAGTTTTCGTGTGAATCCTCGTGACTTTGGCAAGAGCCGGCTCTGCCTCTAACTTCCACTTTGGGGTGTATTTAGAGATTTACCCCCATGCCCTCACCTGCAGGCCCACCCAGCCCTTCCCCTTGGGTGGTGCCAGAGCCCAGTATTGCCCTCTGCCCACCTGGCCCTGGACTGAGCCCACCCAGGACTCCGCAGCATGCGGCCAGCCCAGGGCCCTGTGAGCCCCGGTGGGAGAGGCATTGTCATCCAGCACTTTCTAGCATTTTCATTTATAAACCCGCTTCACTCACGGAACAATCCTACACAGTGGGAGCCGCTATCATCACCCTACTTTACGGATGAGGGAACTAAGGCACTGAGGTTAAGGGCAGTGCTAGGACTCAGGGCGGCCTGGCCCCAGGATCTGTGCGTGTACCAATCCATCACACCATTTCCCTGTCAGATGGACATACAGACAGGCCGTGGGGTACCCCTGTGGCTCACCAAGGGTTGGGGGGGCAGAAGCTATTATATTGGGCTGGAGGGGGGAAGGGACGGAAGCTAGCAGGGAACAATGTGGCCCTGCCATCTCTCTGGAGAGCCTCGCTCTCTGGAATTTGTCTATATTTAGCAGGTGGCTGGGCAGGAGGCAGATAAGAACTCCTGAGGAAGGGGTGGGCCCCTTATATAGTGTGGGGGGACGGGTCCTGCTCAGATCCTCTTTGGGTGGCCTGTGTCTGCTCAGTTCCTGGTGTGACCTCTCTCAAGATGCCTGAGCCGGGGAAGAAGCCAGGTAGCTCCAGGCCTGGGGTTGGGGCTGGGTGTGGGGCAAGGAGGGCTGGGGCAGCTGCTATTGGGACGTAGGCCTTAGAGTGAGTTCCTAAGAGTGGGGGCTGTCTTCCGGGTCTTTTTCTGATTCTCAGTTTCTCCTTCCCATCCTTCTGGTAGAGTGAGGGCAAACCAGAGGACCCCTTCCCTGTCCCCATCCCATCTCTTCCTTAGCAAGATGAGGCCCGGGCTGCCCTTTTGGGAAAAGGCCGCCACAGGCAGGAGCCCAAGTTGAATCTATACTTAAGCCCGTCTTGCTGAATGCTCTTGAGCAGGCCCTTGCCCTCTCCCGGCCTCAGTTTCCCTATCTGTACAAGGAGGTACTGGGTTGGTTCTCTCCAGCTGTGAGATTCTCTGCTTTATGAGCCTGCACCCCCATGGCCCCCACACCAGGCGTGACTCCCATGTTGAGGTAATGTAGTCCGTCTGTTCTGGGAGAGGGTGGTTAAGAGGCCCCTGATCCTGGGCCAAGGGCAGAGAAAGTCACAGCCCAGGGACCTTGTCCTGGCCTGTGCTCTTACCAAGGTCGGGCAGGGCAGGGATCCAGCCCCCCAGCCCCCAGCCCCTCCCAGGCCAGCTTTATCTCAGTTGCTGATTCTCAGCCTGAGGCCCTTGGAGAACAAATTTAGCCACATTCAAGTAGGCAGAGAACCTGCCCCTGGCTAAGGGCCCCGGATGGTGGGGGAGAGAGGGGGCTGGGCTTCTCCCGGCAGGGAGGGTGGGGTTTCCAGGCACACACCTAGCAAAATTCTTGTGTGGAGGTTAGGAACACAGCCCCGGCTCTCCTGCCTCCTGGCTGTGTGATCTTAGATAAGTCACTTAACTTCTCTGAACCTCAGTGTCCTCATCTGAGAAATGGGCATAATAATCGTGTCTGCTTCACAGAGCCACTGGAGCATTAAACGAGGTGACGCATTAAAGTGCTTATCGCCGGAGTTAGGAAGAGGGGGTGCGGGGGCGGGCTGCATGGGAAAGCCAGGGGCTCCTCAGCCTCCACGGGCCTGTCTCAGTCTCAGCCTTCAGCAAGAAGCCGAGGTCGGCAGAGGCGGCCGCCGGAAGCCCTGCCGTGTTCGAGGCCGAGACAGAGCGGTCGGGAGTAAACGCGCGCTGCCTGCGCGGGGGCAGCGACCTCCGTGCCGGGGACAAGTACGGCCCGGCAGCCGAGGGCACGAGGCACACTCTGACAGTGAGGGACGTGGGCCCTGCCGACCAGGGGCCCTACGCAGTCATCGCTGGCTCCTCCAAGGTCAAGTTTGACCTCAAGGTCATAGAAGCCGGTAAGACCCTGGTCAGCCGTCCCTGAGGTTTGAGCTTCTGGGGGCAGCCCTGCCACGTCCCCATCGCCCAGGGTACAGGAAGCGCTTTTCTATTTTGGCTGTGCCGTCTGCCAGGAATGCCCTTCTCCTCTTTTCTGCAGCAAGACCTCTCTGAAGGTCCCCATGTGCCTCCCTGGCCTGTTCCCGCCTTGGTGGAAGTAGGCGAAATTCAGGGATGACTAAGGCACAGTGGCCTCTGGACACCCGCTCACAGATGGGGACTTGGCGGCTGTGTGCTGCTGGCCGGGAAGCCCTGGTTGCTGGGGGTGTGGAGGGAGCCCCAGCCCAGCCTGGGGAAGGAGAGGAGGGACGGAGCTCAGAGCTGCTGGGGCAGACCCGCCGGGACGTGGGCACACAGTTTGCGAGGGGGAGAAGGCGAGACGCACGCTGCTGATTTAACCAGCCCTCAGAGATGGAGGGGGACCAGGGACAAGAGGAGCGCTCTCTGGTGAGAAGCTGCTCCCCCACCCCTGCCCCTGCCCCTTCCAGTGAAGGCAGAGCCTGTGCCGAGCCCTGCTCCTGCCCCTGCTGAGGCTCCTGGGGCCCCCGGCGAAGCCCTGGCCTCAGCCACTGAGGAGAAAGGAGGCTCCCCGAGTCCTGAAGGTGAGAGGGGTGGTGCAGGGAGGGCCAGGGCCAGTGGATGGGGTGACCCAGGGCAGGTCTCAAAGGCCTCTGCTCACAGGGTCAAGCTCAGCAGTCCCTGATGGCTTGGGTGCCCCTGATGACCCCATCGGCCTCTTTGTGATGAGGCCACAGGACGGCGAGGTGACCACAGGTGAGTGTGGGCTGCAGTACCCGGGGGTGGGGTGGGGAACCGGGCAGCAGGGCGCCCCCTCAGCCCAGCCTGGCGCCCCTCTCTGTAGGTGGCAGCATCACCTTCTCTGCACGTGTGGCTGGAGCCAGCCTCCTGAAGCCGCCCACGGTCAAGTGGTTCAAAGGCAAGTGGGTGGATCTGAGCAGCAAAGTGGGCCAGCACCTGCAGCTGCACAGTAGCTACGACCGGACCAGCAAGGTGGGGCCTGCAGGCCGAGGGGCCTGGGGGCGTGGGGCGGGAGGAGGGCACGGGGAGCCCCTGGGGGGCCCCAGAGGCACGGGGAGTCCTGGGGGTCACCCTGAGACTGAGGGCACACAGGAGGTGCAAGGAAGAAGCCTGGGGAGGCTGGAAAGCAGGTTGGGTGGCCAGGCGTACACGGGGAGGACGGGGAGGCCCAGGGGACCTATGGGACCTGGGGGGCTTGCAGGGCATGATCATCTCAAGGGGGCGTAATAAAACTGGGGGGGGGGCATCAGCCAATGAGGATGTAAAGCCCCTGGATAGATGTGTATCAGAGCCCAAGCGGCCCTTCATTATACAGATGAAGATACCAAAGCTTGAGAGGTTGTTTTTGCTGGTCTGAGGTCACTCAGAGCCAGGCCTCGAACCTGTGCTTTGACTCCCAGCTTCTGCTCCTCCTCCCACTCTTCCACAGTTCTGGCCCAGGCAAGTGGGCCTCTGGCAGGGCAGGGGCAACATGTTCAGTTGCGTGGGTTGTGCACTGGACAAAAGTGCCTCATCTTAAGTGAATGTCATTTGCCTTGTAGGCATCACAGATTTATATTTTATCACCACCCTGTGCCAGCAGATGGCAGTCATGTGTCTTGAAAAGGGGCTCCTTTTCCTGTTTACACAAAACCCTATGGAATAACTAAACCCGGAGGGCTGAGAAGGTTGGTGGCCATTAGCCACTCCCAGCCTCCTTTAGGAGTGAAGGGCCTCCTCTTCTGGCCCCTGGTCTCCCTTGACACCTCACCTCCACAGGTCTACCTGTTTGAGTTGCACATTACAGATGCCCAGGCTACCTTTGCGGGCGGCTACCGCTGTGAGGTGTCCACCAAGGACAAATTTGACAGCTGCAACTTCACTCTCACTGTCCACGGTGAGGAGAGCCTGGCGTCTGTCCTGGGCTCGGAGTCCCCTTGGGTCCTGTCCCCCATGTCTGCCCCCATTTCCCAACACGAAGGAGGGTACCTGGTCCTGCTCAGTGCAGCTCATACAGAGCCATGAAAGAAACCCATGGAGGCTTCCAGGGTTGGGGTGGGGTCTGACAGCCACGTCCAGCTCTCACCTGGGGTCTCAGTCATCGTGGTGTCCCAGGCTCCTGGCACAGGTGGACAGGTGAAGGGTGAGCCCAGAGCTGAGTGGGAGATCAGCCACCTCTAAGGGACCAGGGACCATCAACTGCCCCATCAACCCCAGAAAGGCTCAGAATGTGGGGTCCCGGGGTAGACGCCCACTCTCACGGGTCATGGATGGGCAGGTCTGTGCTACTCAGAGATCCCAGGGCCGGGCTTCTGGGATCCCTTGGAGCCCCTTCCCTGTCTCACCTCCCTCTCTGCACCCAGAGACCGTTGGTCCCGGAGACCTGGACCTCCGATCAGCATTCCGCCGCACGTGAGTGATTCTCTCTCCTCAGGGCCTGGGGGAGGCCAGCGCTGGGGTCTGAGGCCCCTCAGGGTTAGGGCTGGGAGTGATGTGGTGGGGGGATGTGGGGGACAGAGACGAAGTTGATAAGGATGGGGGACAGCAAGATCCCCTGGGCAGGTGAGGAACTTGTTCTAACCCCCACAGGAGCCTGGCTGGAAGTGGTCGGCGGGTCAGGTACCCTTCTCCCAGCCCCTACCTGTCCAGTACACACACCCCAGGGGTCAGATGGATAGGGAGCCCCCATCCAGCCAGTGTCCCTTCCTTTCCCCACCCCCATCCCCACCCCAAGCCCATTCCAGTTGGCTCCACTGCAGCCTTACTGGAGGTCCCTGTCCACAGTGACAGCCATGAGGATGCTGGAACTCTGGACTTCAGCTCACTGCTGAAGAAGAGGTGAGCCCCTGGGTAGCAGCTCCTGAGGCAGATGGCGAGGCCCTGGTTCAAATCCCGGCAACGCGGTTTTCTGACTGTGCGGCCCGGAGCCGGTTACTGAACTCTCGGAGCCGGTTTCCTAGTCTGTCAGCTGGGACGGTCCTGGTGTTGGGAAGCGCAGAGGGCTCTGCAGACATTGTATCCTGTGAACTCACATCCTCACGGGGTCACCCACGGTCCCTGACACCTGAGTCTACAAGAGCTTACCTCAGTAGGCTCCGGGGACCCAGAGAGGCTGGGAATTGCTCCTGCAGTCCCTCCAACTGACTTCGTGTCCTCTCCCTCTCTCTCCCGGACCCTGCATTATGGCGGATGCTGCTGCGGCCCAGAGAGTAAGCATCAGGCGGGGGCTTTGGGGCAGCAGGGTGCCGGCCGGGGCTGGGAGTCAGACGGTCCTGGGTGTGGATCCCCACTGACCAGGGCTCTGAGCTTCCGGTTCTCCTGATAGCCACCTGCCAGAGCTCAGGAGGGGCAAACAAGGCAATGTGTGCAGGGCAGTGTAAATGGAGGGGCAGGGGTGTGTGGGGGGGACACGAGGGCCCATGGGCTGTGGCCCCAGGTCCGTGTGGGCAGGGGTCCCACGCCTCTAACGGTCCACTGCCTTTTTGCCCTGCGGAGCAGCAGTTTCCGGAGGTGAGTGCCTGATGAAGACCGCACCCCTGCCACCCCCCCTTCCCCGGGACTCCCCCGTGCTGAACCTTAAGTCCAGTGCCAGCTCATGCTGCACCACCAGAGGGGAAGGGGCAGAGGGGCGGGGCAGCTCCTTGGTCCTGGGCCCCAGGGGAGGGAGAGGTCCACAGGGTATCCCTTGAGGCCTCTCGGCCGGACTGCGGACGCAGGGACTCGAGGCTGGAGGCGCCAGCCGAGGAGGACGTGTGGGAGATCCTGCGGCAGGCATCCCCGTCCGAGTACGAGCGCATCGCCTTCCAGCACGGCATCACCGACCTGCGCGGCATGCTCAAGAGGCTCAAGGGCATGAAGCGGGATGAGAAGAAGAGCACAGGTGAGCTGGCGCCTGCTGTCCAAGAGGACAGGGCACGCTCGTTCGCACACACGGGGTGCGGTGGGGGGCGGGGGACAGTCCAGCTTAGCCCAGAGACACACAGCGGAGACCCGGAGAGAGAACGGGGGGGCG